CCCTGTACACTGCCCACTTCCTCCACACAGGGCCCCTGCACTCGCTCTCCCCCAGGCTGGAATGCTCATCCCAAACTAGCGCACAGTTTGTTCCCCCACTTTATTCGAGCCTCTGCTCAAGCCCCATGTGCTCAGAGCCTTCCCAGATGACCTACACTCTCCAACCCCTTTGCAGCCTTCGCTACCTGACACCCCACTAGAATGTAGCCACCTTGTTCGTGTACTTTCCCAGCACTTGCAACAGTGCCCAGGATGCTGGCAATGTTCAAGGTCATTACAGCTGGCTTCGCTGGGGTGCTGGCCAGACTGTTCAGGACAATGGCCAGATTTGGGGACGAGAAGTGACATTTGCCCTCCATTAGAAAGAGCCTGACGGAGAAAGGGGATGATAGAGCGAGGCAAGCTAGAGGATGGTGTAGGTGATGGCACCCAAGTAAAAGAACAGACTGTTATGGAATGGATGAAAACTGGACTGCGGCGACAGGGACCCTCCCAGGGCACCGGGGTTGTGGGAGAATCAGCAGCCTGCGCAACAGAGGAAAGCAGAGGGAGAGGTTTGGGAGAAGACATCAAGCCTGAGTAAAGGAACACAGGGTTAGGCATTAGCCACTACTGACCTGCAGCATTTCATTGCTCTTTACGCACCTCTAACTTCTCAGGTGTCTACTGTCTCCCCAACTAGAGAACAGGCTCTTTGAAAGCAGCAAGGTGCCCTTCATCTCCTGAATGGAAACCTGATCCTACCTACCCCAACACAGAGCTGTTAATGTCCCATTAATGAAGACTCACTAATCTCCCCAAGATCTAAGCTCAACGAAGGCAGGGGTCAGCCCACCCCACCTCCCATGGTTGCGTCCCTGGGCACATAGGACTCACCTCGCTCTGGCACCAGTGACTCACGACATCACTGCTAAGCCTCAGACTTTCTGAACGGGACCCAAAAACTTAGTTGGATCCATGGCACATGGGCCAATCCCTAACCTGTTGTGCCAAACTCCTATTTCAGCTCATTAAAGAAATTCTCCCTACACCTTTAAAGATCAAGGAGGCTAGGCTTTTTAGAATATTCCTTCCCCTGATAAAAATACCAAAAACATATAAGCTACCTTTACTGACATCCCAGATGATGGCCGTGTTATCCACAGAAGCTGAAGCCATTAAATTCCCATCGGTGGCCCAGCAAATATCATACACATCTTCTAAGTGGCCCCTAGAATCCAGAGAAGAAATAGAGGACAGAAAAGAGAGAAAAATGGTAACATTTAAAGGCAAACTCAGGGACTGTACCTGAGAACAGAATGTCAGAAACAGCCACTGGAACTATCTTAGCTATGGCTATAGCCTACTACATCCAAGGATATTTGTATCTTTAAAATTGACTTGATTTTACTAAGGAAAATTTTATAGCAGAAACAAAGAAAATCCATTTTAATCATGCTTTTATCTTTTAAAACTATTGTATTTCTGTCCTGCATAAGTAAAAGTTTCCAGTTAGGTGTGAAAGTCAAGGCACGTATCAGTTTACTGCACTCCGTCTAGGGGCCCCTCCCAGGCTACCTCAGGGTCTTTACGACCGTCCAGTTCTCCTTATTCAGCTCGGCCTCGGCCTCCTCCTGGAAAGCAGTCTGCTCCGGCTCCTTGTTGTCATTCACCTTCCACAGCAGAATGACAGCATCTGTGAGTGAGTCAATGAAGGACAAGTCCTGCTTTACTGCACGCTCCTCCACTTCTGGGCTTTCCGCCTATTAAATAACATCTTTGTTCAACTACGACCATGATGATTTACTTCTAAGAATCCTGACAGGGAAAACAGGCTGCCTTCTGAACTAAAGGTCCAAAATCAAACTCAGACCAGATCAGAGCTAGACAAGCTGACTGCCCTAAACCGAAGGGTGCCCCACCAGCCAAACACCACAGTAAAGCAACTGACTACAAACAAATCCAAAGGCATAACCTAGAAATAACTGAACAAGCCCTGGCTGGGGAGCTCAGCTGGTCAGAGCGCCCTCCCCATAGGTCCAGGTTGCAGGTTCAATATCCGGTCAGGGCACATACAAGTATCAACCAACGAATGTATAAATAAATAAGCGGAGCAACGGCCCCGGCTGCTATGGCTCAGCTGGTTGGGTGTCGTTCTGGACACCAAAAGGTTACTGGTTAGATTCCCAGTCAGGGCCCATGCCCAGGTAGTGGTTCAACCAGATCAGTGTTTCTCTCTCACATCAATGTTTCCCTCTCTCTCTAAAAAGCAATTAAAAATTAAAGTTAAAAAATTTAAAAAAACAAATAAGTGGAGTAACAAATCGATATTTCTCTCACTCTCTCTAAAATTAATAAATAAAAATTTTAAATAAAATTTAAAAAGGAAAGAAAGAACAAAACCCCAGCCACAAAGAGCCACCAACACAAGCTAGCAAATCTTTCCTAGCTGTGTAACCTTCAGCAAGTCACTTAAGGCCTGTCTCCTTACCTGTAAAATGGAGATAATAACAGAATACTTGCCTCAGAGGGCTGTTGTGAGGATTAAATGAGTTAATATGCATAAAGCACTTACAATGCCCCCGCACATTAGGTAAGTCCATGTATGTTAGCTATTGATATCGTGGACACATCACATCCATTAGCCTGATGTCATCAACTATGAATCCTAACTCCCCACATTTGAATCCACACTCAACACATAACCTTCGGCCCAGGCTGGGCTTCTCTGAGGACTGCCACAGGAGGGGAGCAAAGGAGACGACTGTACGGACACACGGATTCTCATTCTATAACTGGAAGCCTGGGAGCTTGGTTGAGCAGAGATGGGCCCTGACAGGACACTCTTTACTTGCTAACAGCAGGTTTCTGGGCCTGTGCAACCTCAGAAGACAGCAGGCCAGCCCCACCAGGGGATGTTCCCCACTCACCACCTTTCCCCTCTACGCACATGCTCAGGACATCACGACACTGAATTTAATTACCAGGTCTCCTTTCCTCCTGCAAACAAAGTCTGAGATTTCTGTTTTATTTTGTACTAACTTCTAGACTGTTCTAGTGTTAAAGCATGGTAAAAAGATTTACTTTTTGTGTGTAGTTTGAAAAAAAGAGTAGAGATAGTAGATATATAAAATGCAGCCATTCTAACCGAGATGCAAAAATTATTCATGTTACAAAGGTTGTGGCAGGAGGAGAGACTCTATTCTTGTTCTAACTGGCCTGGGAACTCAAACTTTTTCATCTTTCCAGTCCATGTCCAATGCCTGGATATGCATCTGGACATACACCAGACCTCCAGATAACCTTGACCGCCCTCTAAAGGACTCAGTATCCAGGCACCTAATATACATTATCCAAATGTGATCAAACCCAAGGTACCTACTCTCTAGCCTGCTTGGCATCCATCATCCTGCCTGACACCTGACTGATAACCCTCCTGGATGAATCCTTGGGCTAAGAATGCAAAACTGACAATTCTCAAGAAAGTAGTTTTGACTATAAGAAATCTTAACTTTTCTTTCCTTTATGGAGCACTTCTGGGTTTTTGCCTCGCTGTGCTCCCAGTGTGTAAACTCTATGACCCCTGAATAAATCTCTATTAGTTATTACTAGCCAAAGCCCCTAGACTCTTCTTGAGTTCATTCGACAAGTTTTACGCCATTCAAGCACAAGCAGAGAATATAAATCAACCTACTTCCACCAAACAAACATAATTTAGAGGGCCATGTGAACAATACTCCCTAAGCTAATTAACTAATTATACAGAAACATGTAACAGACTGTGATCACTTACAAATTCTAAACTAACAATCAAGTGAGGCCAGAATAGTGCCTTGAGACTCTGTCAGAATGGTAAATACCTTCTTACTGTCTCCAAACCAGCCCAATGGGAGCAAGTGGGAAGGGAGCCATTTTCAAATAGGTCTTCTCAGTTTAAGTTTGCTGTCCTCCATCTGCTCATGCTCCCCAGAACATTATTTTTATTTTACTAAACCGTCTAAATGACAAATTGACAGGGTCAATTGATCTCTAATATAAAAAAGCCTATCTGGCTCACATCTCACTATTTAACATGAGACACATGGGTATGTGGTCTCTAAAGAATTTTGGAGCACTATACTCACCATCTCCTCCTGATGCTAAAATTTCCCCATTTGGAGAAAACCGCACGACATTGACTGCTTTGGTATGGCGAGCAAGATTGGACAAAAATTCAACAATGGCCTTTCCATCTGGTCCTTTTTCCACCTTCCAGATCTGTTGATACCAAACATTCATCCAGAGAAATATATAGATAGTAAGCAGCTACCATACTGTGCACACTAAAATAATACTATGCTTGCCCAGCTGGCATGGCCCATCGACCTATGATACAGGAGATCGCGGTTCAATTCCCGATCAGAGCATATGCCCAGGTTGCGTGTGCGTGTGCGTGTGCAGGAGGCAGCCAATCAATGACTCTCATCATTGATGTTTCTATCTCTCTCTCCCTCTCCCTTCCACTCTCTGAAATCAATAAAGATCTATTAAAAAAATAAAATAATACTGTACTTATTTTCAGGAAGAAAATTTAGCTTTTCTTTTGAAACATAATATGACGAAACTTCTGTCTGAAACATAAGCCAACAGTCCCACTGTTAACTGTCCTCCCTCCTATCTCCTTCTAGTGCAGATTGCTCCCCAAGAGGAACCTGGCTCAGATTCTAAAGTAACAGGCATCCAAGTTACCTCAATCTAGGAAACATTACCCAAGAAAAAAAAAAGCAGCTTTCTTTTGCTTTCATTGGTCACTCAAAGGCCCTGCAAATTTTAACCTCCGGACTAGTGAGGAAGTAGTCTGAGTTAGTTGACATTAGTTTGAAATAACGGGTTGGAGAATGCTGCTTCAGTGGCGCTTCCCTGCGCCTGGGTTTCGGCCCATTTACCCTGACAGCGGTGTCCACCCCCGCGGAGGCCAGCCTGTGGACCCTCCCCGCGGCGCCGCGCTGGAAGTCCAGGCTGTACACCGGCTCCTTGTTGTGCCAGGCTATTTCGCAAGTGATGACTTTCATCCTTCTGAGCCTTGGCGGGGCGCAAATATTCCTCGGGCACCGTTCTCTTTCCAAAGCCAGAGGAGAGCTGAAAATTGTCGGTAATGAGTTGAATATTAGAGCAGGAAATCTGAATGCTTATTATGAGCCAGGAACCCTACCATTAAAAATACACGCTGTGTCCTGGCTGGGTAGCTGCGTTGGTGCACCCTCTTGATAGGCCAATGTTGCGGGTACAAGAATAAACCAATGAATGCATAAGTAAGTGGAGCAACAAATCATGTTTCTCCCTCCCTCTCTGTCTCTCTAAAACCAACCAATAAAATTTTTTTTTAATGCACACTGTACTGGAAAGAATGCTAAAATGTCCTGACACAACACCTTGCAAGTTCCACCTAAAATGCTCTGTTGCGCCCTGGCTGTTAAGTTTGTTCTCCTGCTACGTCCAGAAAAGCAAAATGGAACACACAGGTAGAGAAAACCAGGCCTGTGGGCTGTGCCACTGCCACCGCCATGGCCCCGGCTTAGCGAGGATTGGAGGGCGGCCAGGGAGGCCCAGAGCAGGCGGCTGCCCGGGCCAGGGGACTATTCAGGGGAGGGGGCTGTAGAATGAGGGGGCCGGGCCCGCGAGGGACCCCACTTCCCAGGAGTCTGGCAGCCTAGGGAAGGGAGCTCCCAGGAGGAGGCCGCAGGAAGAGGGAGCTGCCTAGGGAAGGGGGCTGCAAAATTAAAGGACTGGGGCGCGAGGGAACCCCACTTCCCAGGAGCCCGCAGTCTGGGGGAGGGAGTCCCCAGGAGGAGGGGACTACCCGGGGGTTGCAGGAGGGAACCCTGCTTCCCCAGGGGCAGACTGCTTCACGGCTTCATGGGGCAGGGGACGCCCTACCCAGGCTGTACGGGGCCAGGCGCACGGCGGGGAAAGCGGGACCCGGCCTGGCGGGGAGGAGACCGCGCGGGGCCGGGGTGTGGGCGGGTATCGGCCGCGGGAACGCGCGCCGCTCGGGAGGCATCTCGGGTCCCCGCCACCTGCCCTGGGAGAGAGCCTCTCGCCCCTGCCCGGCCCGGGCCGGAGACCCGCGGGGACACTGGGATGCGGGAGCCCGCAGCGCGGAAAACCTACCTGCGGGGCCGCGGCC